TAAGGGGTACCTAGTAAAGTGTTTGGTGACTATATGTACTAAGTGCATTCAACTAAGTGCTGTAGTTGAATGGGAGCCTCTAAAGTGTGTACGCTACCATTTGCCCTGTAACACCTGGGATAATGAATGTATGGAAAATTAACCAAACTGAAATGACACATAAACCCCATCTTCCCCTTGGTTGGCAGCTCTGTTTGTAAGCCAAAGTGAACAGATATTAGACTCAATAGAAAGGAACTCCAAGCACAGTCAAAATGCTGTTCTTAACATTATTCACACAGGCGAAAGGCAGAAGATAATGATATTCTAGCTAACTGGTATGGGTCTCTGCTTCAAACCCCACATATCATTTTAGATGTAGCAGCACGATTTGTGCTGATAAAATTAGTCATCTGTGGCTTTTCTTCAGTGTCAGAGGCTGTGAGTAGTGTAATGGATGAGCAGGCGTAGTAACTTGGCAGCAGCTGTGCTACAGTGGAGGTGTAAGGTAGGTGGCCTTGGACAAGGAGTGTAAAGAAAGGCAGGATGACTCACCTAGTGAGGAGCATGCAATACTCCATTGACGAGCAACCCACAGAGCTCCCTCTCCTGTCTCTTCTCCATCTGTGGTGTTTCGTAGGACAGTCAGGGAAAGCAGGAGAGTGATGGGAAACATGCATGTAGGTTAACGTTTCAGAATTCACCTGGGGTAATGGTTTTTCCATAAGCTGCCATTGTTGAGGCTGACCTGGCTTTTAAGACTGAATCAAATCGATGGCTTCTCCGTCTGAGGCTGGGAGGAGCGAGGGAACCTGTCTCTGTCTGCACAGCAACGATAACACTGCTCAATAGGCACTAACCACCTTTCAAATGGAAATGTAGTATCCAGTGAAATTAGACACAGTTATCTGGATGGTACTGAGTAGCTATGGGGCTGTGAATGGGAGATGGTAGGGCGACTGTTGAGGGTGTGTCACGCTTTGACTTTGTTGTCCCAGAGCTTAGCTTGTGCAGAACATTCGAGGTTCACGTTTCATGTCTTTGAGGTTCGATAAACACACCCAAAAACACGCAAAAAGAAATTGTGTTTGACATCAAAGGCATGTACGATTGGATGCAAGCTTGCAAGTGCAGAGGGTGACTCACCACCCAAAACCATGGGGGTGTGTGGTACAGACAGTATGCTAAGTTACAGTACACACTCATCACAGTGCCAGTTCGTTCTTCCTGCGTCTCCCCCTCTCTCTCTCTCTCTCTCTCTCCCTCACTCGCCATGTCTTTGCTTCCCACCTCTCTCTATCACTCATTAGCTTGCTTGCAAACACACATGCGCATCCAGACAAATTCAGACTAAGGGGGTGGATTCACAAATTGCTGACATAGAAAGTGAGTGCTGTGATCAGGTTCAGTGCTGGCTCAATCCTGTAAAACCCCCAGGGAAAGGTTTAAAATAAATCACTCATAGATTCTGCCTGCCCTGAAGATTAAAGTGGGGGAAGAGTGTGTTTGTGTCTCTGTGTGATCATTCGAAATAAGACAGTTTGTCTGCATTTGTGTCTCTTTTGTTTCTGTGAATTTACGCCATGTGCATGTAGTCTGCGTCTTCGTGAGAGTTACTGACTGTAAAGGTGATGAAAAGAGCCACTGGGTGGGTGTGCTAAATGGCTGCATGAGAGTGTTGGCATGTGTAACTGCTCCAATTGGCTTGCCGGAGTTGTCCTCGGGGAAATAAGGGCACCGGCACAAGCGAGATAGCCTGCCACTGATACAGAGTTATGTGTCTTTCCCATATTTGCAGGTTTTTCTTGTGCATTAAGACTGATGCCTGGAGATGCAACAAATGTGCAGAATGTGCAGATACAGGATGCAGTCATTTACATTTTGTATGCGTGCATGTTCATGCATCTCATATCTAGCTAGACCCATAGAAGTTTTATCTATGAGCCTGGAAATGTCTTTGTTTACATGAACAATATGTCTGAGCATATGTAGACGTACTGTCTGTGTCCAAAGGCTACGTGTGTGCAGTGGGTTTAGTCAGGTCTTCCAAGAGGTCCATATGGCGTTAGGGGCAATAAATGGACTCTAGGGGGAACAATCGGCAGCTGTTTGCAGAGTCACCCTGAACCATGACCTTTACCCTCCAGTGTGTAAGGGCGTGTGGTTAAGTGGCTCTCTGCTCATTATAAAGTATAGAGTGTTCTGGATTTGAACCCACCCAGACCACCTCATTTGCATATTACACCCTTTCTAACGACACAGCTGAAGATGCTGCACTGTCGTCCGCTGTTTTTGTCATCCGGGGTTTTTGTACCCATGTTGCATGACCTATAATTAATCCTATACAGTGTGCATCATCAGAATAAATCCCATTTATTGCTTTACTGTTAGTAAGTGCTGTTATTTAATAGATTATCGATACTGGTCAGTGTGTTAAGTGTTGATCAGCCTAAAGGAAACTAACTGGAAACGTTGTGATGAAATCAGATTCAGAATACTTTATTAATCCCAAAGGAAATGATATGACTTCAAAATTTAAGGAGTCAACTCTGTCAAATATACTGTCAATACAAGGTCAGATACTTTCAGGTAGGAAATGTTTTCTCACTTAATGTGGTTCATTGGTGGAAAAAGAACTAAAGTGCCATGAATCAGTCATCAAATAACTCAATGACATAAAAACATTCAGTCGTGACAAAATCATTCTTTCCTATTTAAGGATCGGTTGACTTGTACAGCGTGTGTGCACATAACTTGTAGGTTGTGACCTTTCAGAAAGGTCACTTAAAACGTGACGTGAACACATTGTGTGAGATCAATAATTGTATAGGGTCTGCCTGGGTTTCCAGGCTAACTCTATCAGCATAGATGATACCTGGTGCACTGCCAAACATTTCTGGGATTTGCAGTCAGGAATTTCTACTCTGCTGTTGCAGGATTGTGGACATAATTATAGTATTCTGACAGTAACTGTTTAGATAAGATGACGTACCAAACAGAAGTCTCAGACGTCGGTAACGAACAGTTCAGACCGGATACATGTAATGTTACACCCATGCTTGTAATGATTAATTGCATGTTAATATGGAAACATGAGCAGCAGTGCCAACATAACAGAATACAGTGCATATCACAATTATACCAATACCAAACAGTGCAACAACGCAATTAATCGCCCCTTGGCATAGTCATAAGTCATCAGAGAAGCCGTCTTTCGGTTTTCTGCATGATACTGAGGTTTCACTGCGTTGGGCGGAACAGACACCCCCTTTTTAGCTCCAGTTTAGCTTTGGTTCAGCTGAACCTGTGCTTGTTTTGACAGAGCAATCAGGCCTAGTTTGGCATGCAGCTGCGCTTTAAACCCCTCTGGGTTCGAGATTAGCTGGAGCCACTCTAGACCACGGCTAAGCACATCAGATGCTAAGCGACAGAGTAATTGTCCCATTAAGTTTAAACTGGAAAAGATTAGGTGCACTGTTAATAAAAGGCTGAAATGTTATGCTTTATTTCATGAGTACAGCTGCTGAGCAAGAGTACGCGAGGTGGATAAAAAAAAAGAAAAAAAAAGCCTCTTGTGCTGAAAAGGTTGAGCGCCACGGTAGCTGAATTTCAGTTTTGCTGGTAATTCAAAAAATCTTTTTTTCTTTGTAACTGTTGATTGAGCTGTAGAGGATTGGAAGGTGCGCGGTTGGCTTAGAGAGAAGATAAGGGAACTAATTCCTTGCCTCTTCTCTTTCTGCTCTTTGATCCTCACCTCCCGCTTCATATCTCTTTGATTGCCATGTTTATGACAGCTCCTTTTCCTTTTCTCCTCTTGCCTCTTTCCTCTCCTGCTGTGTGGTGTGGCATGTCAGCAGTTCATCTTCTGTTGGAGGTCTTCGCACACACGCGCGCACGCTCCGAATCGAGCATAGACAAGCGCGAGTGGAACACACACTCAAAGGAAGACACACCCGCCTCCATCCTAACTGAGGTAAAGTGAGTGCACCAGCATCCGTGATGAATAATTGAGTTATCTGGCTCTGCGCAGAAATAGCAATCTCCCCACATAAGTGTGAAAACATCACTTGCCACCGGAGACCTGGGAACTGGTGCTGCCATGTGGGTCTACACGTGTATGCGTGTGGGCTTCTGACTGTATTAGCTTATGTGGGACCTTTGTCATTTTTTGTGTTTTAATCTGTGAATATTTTAGAGAGGGAGTCACGGTCTCAACATGTCTTTCATTACATGCTGAGGTGGTGACGTTTGCGTATCTGAGCTACAAAATGAAAACGTATCAAATATTGTGACGTTGAAATGAGAGCATGCCTCCTTCAGCGTGATGCTCCGATCACTCAGGCCTGTGTGATATGAAGAAGAACTTAAATGTGGAATCTTTTTGAGTCCATCTCCAGTCGTGAGAGCAGCATTTTGATCACACACCCTGCCCACGTAGCTCAAACCTTAAAAATCTAATATTTTGCTAGAAAAATTTAAAGAGATGCACAAACATAAATGGAAATGGAATATATAACCAAAAAACAGGCTTTGTACACTTCTAACAATCTTTAAAGTCAAGTAACCACTTTTATTCTTCAATACAGCCTAACTCTCTTTCAAGCTTTCTTGCTATTTCTTTAAGTAGATTTCAGGAATAGTTGTCCAGGTTTCTTGAAGGACATCCGAAACTCTTCTTTGTATTGTCAAAATGATCTCACACTGCTTCAGTAATGTTGATGTCTGGGAGACCGGCACATGAATGATCCACTGGCATGGCTGTTGCTCAGGTGGTGGTGGTTCAGGTGGTTTGATCCTTTGCTGCTCCAGTCTCCATACCGAATATCCTTGGGCAGCATACTAACCCCAAGATGCTCTCTGATGCATCGGAGTGTGAATTTGTGTGAACATTAGATAGAAATACCTTAAACATAGAAAAAAGCACTTGTGTGAATAATGGGTGAGAATGGGCAAACGAGGCCTGTTGCATAATGTATTTTGAGTGATCAAG